CCCCAAAACCCCAAAACCCCAAAACCCCAAAACCCCAAAATTATATCTCCCTGTTGAATCAAGACACTCTTTAAAGGCTCTGGAAACAACAAGAACCGTAATGAGGGTAAGACCTCAACATGTTGATGAGATTAGCTGTAAGAATTGAGTTTTAAAGTAACTTAGAATAAGTTATATCTGTACTGCCAGAATCATGACACAATTTAAAAAACAGAAGATTCTGAAGTTATTAATTGCTTGTAACTGATTTACATTATAACAATTTCATCATCGTTAAGAATCTCTAAAACTTGCCTTTTGTTGTAATTAAAATTTGTCTTTGCCTTGAGGCCAAAGGTGCAGATGCTCTTTTTATCATACATCTTTGCTGCTTCATCTTCAGTCTCAAAACCTCCTTTGTATTCTTTGTAATGATTGAGAGTTATCATTACCTAAAACAAAACATGTAAGGGCCTGGTTTAAAAGTGAACACATACCTGCCACCTAGCTTTGTTCTTAGAGACTCCCCAATACTTAGACCCTCTATAGTCTTCTTCACTAATCTTTGGGTCCTTTTTGACCTTTTTGATTCGTTTCTGAAAGATTAGCTTCTCTTGAGAGCAGCTTTGTAACTTCTTCATGAGCCTTCTTCTTTCATTAGCTGTGAATTCTTCAATATTATTTCTATCAACTCTGAACTTCTTCTTAGTTCTACGAGGTTTGAGAGGAGATTTTGGAACCAAGTCTACAGTTCTTGTGGAAGTAAGATCAATTATCTCAGATTCTTTGAGAGAATCTTTTGGAGCACTAGGATCAGAGCTGCAATTCAGATCAAGGACCAACCTCTCGCTATCAAACTCCATTTGAGATAATTGCTGTGTCTGAGCTTTGTCTTCTATACAAGCTCCTTTAGCATCAGATGTCTTTGGATCTTGAGTGTTACTTTCTTTTCTGACTTCTCAGGTAAAAGGAGGACAGAAAAGACCCAAGCTAGAGACTTGAATTTTATCAGTGATTTCCATCTTTGAAGCTGAAAGATATGCTCCCAAGACAATTTCTTGTAAAGAAGAAGCCCTCTCTGTCTCTAGTCCAAGACTAAGAGGGTGGCTTAATTTTTCTAAGAGTGATTGGCAATTCATAAACATTTTAAATTAAGATCTCAAATGGGTAATTTATAATTGGGGTTTTGGGGTTTTGGGGTTTTGGGGTTTTGGGG